AGCTACAGCCGCGCTGCCGGGGCGGGGCGGGGCTGGGCGGGGGGCGCTGCCCAGTCCTGCACTGCACTGCGCTGCACACGCACGTGCCCGCGCTGCCCGCCTGGTCCTGCTGCCCCGCGGGCTGGGGCTGGCCGGGCATGAGGGGAGCGGTTGGGTCGGGAGAGGCCCAGTTGGATCGGGAAGGGGATGGGCCTGTTTGTCCCCCTTTCAAATCACGTGAGCCCAGCCCAGCGAGTTCCTCGTTAGCCTCCTTCAGGCGGGGAGGCTACAGGAAAAGGGGACAAACGTAGTGCAGAAAGCCGGGGTGGGAGTGCTGGTCATTGGTTCAAAACAAGAGATAGGAGGGCTGCTTGGGGAGGACATGGGCCTTAACCAGCAGCACCCTTGCCCACAGGGTTGGCCTCCAGGGGCCTGGGCGATCCTAGCTCTGGCGCTGTGGGGTGGTAGGGTAGCAGCGGTTTAATCCCTGTGTGTTATTTGCCCTGCCTCTGAAAGCTGGGGATCTTGACGTGTACATCCAGCAGTGGGACAACCAGCTTCCATGCGGTTACTGCTCCTGCTCACTCTGCTGCTGCTGAGAAGTGCCCCAAAGGGGCTTTCATTTGGGAGACCGCGTGGGAGGGTGAGTGGCGGCAGCATTAACCGCCCAGGTGCTGGCTGCACAGCACGGTGGTCCTGGAGGCCTCAGGAGTTAGCTTCTACCACTCATCTTCACGCAGAATTTCTGGCCCCACCAGCCGTGGTTTGGCCACTCACAGGCTACATGTGGCCAGTGGGCTGCCATTTGGACATCCCTTGTGTAGATCATGCCACTCTTTTCACTGCAGCTCTCTGGTGACTCTCCGTCCATCTAATTAAACTTTAGTCCTCTTTCTGTGATAGCTCTCCCTGCACATATGTCTGATTTAGTCTTTTGGTGACTTCCTCTCCTTTGCTCTTCACATGACGGTGACCTTTCACTATTTCTGCTTAGCATGACATTTTTCCATGCTGTCCCTATGGTTGAATTGGTATGGTACCTTTCACTTTCTAGTTTTCCCTGCCATCGTTCTCGTTCCTAGAGATTTGCCTCCTTGATGCTTACTGAATATCCTTATACATTTACACAATTCATCATTCCTTTTGACTTCTCTGTGCAACCCCTCTTCTCCATTTTGCCTGTTACTTTTTACTGCTACTTTATATTAGAGCATTGTCAACCAAAGAACTAGATGCTTCCAGGCATGCTTGAAGGCTGTCTGTACCTTGAAAAAACTAGGATTTTAAGAAGACAAAAACCAGAGAAAGCGTGGGGAAAGCAGTTCAACATGTAAGCAAAGTGACTGAAATGATGATAGAAACACATCTATGGCCTCACAATAGCTAGCTTTAGTTTATAGTGCAAGAGCAAAGGTGGGTAAAGGGAGTGTGTTGTGAGTTTGTGGGAGGAAGGAAGAGGAGAGAGATGGAACAAAGGAGAGCAGCATGGAGGGCAGGGAACAGGAGGCGGCAGTGGAAACATCATGAGAAGGAACTACAAATCAACAAGAGAAAATGTATGAAGTTCAAATGGAAAAGGCAGTGGGCCAAAACAACAGGTATCTAGGTGTTGCTGATGACCTGGGTCTTACCACCAGTGCTGTCAGCCTAGCTCAGTTCAGGAAAATGGCTCTCAATGGCTTACTCAAAGCTGTGGGAGGAGAGTGATTGCCATTTGCAAGATTTGTAAAAATTGAAGTCTTGCTGTAAGAGGAAAGGAAGAGGTATAATACTTTACCAAGGCCTGGCTGATCCAGTAGTAGTGTGTTTATGGTGCTGGGTACAGGGATCAGCAGAAACTTCAAGCCTACTACTCTAAAATAGAGAAGAACAAGTTAGTGGAAGGGCTGCTACTTTTAGGTTTTCAGTTGTTTTTCCATTAGGAAATGTCCCACTCGTGTATTACTGCTGCAGCTTAACTAGTGGTAACAACTTTGGAAGGAAGCAGGCAGGACTTTCAGCTAGGGTGTACCGATAAAGATTTTCTTGGCCAGTATCAATAGCCGATTATTAACTAGTCATATCAGCTGATACCGATCCTATAGCTGACTTACAGAAATGCAGCTGGGCAGTGTGGAGAGCAGCACCCTGCAGGTAAGTCTGTGGAGGGGAAGGGGCTTGGGGGAGGTACAGGGCATGAGGGGGACAGATCAAGCTGGGGGAGGGAGTGGGGCAGGGGCTGTGTCTGGGGGCACTGCCCAGCCAGAGTGGTGAATGGGAGCCTGGGACTGGGCGGGGAGCAGGATGGAGCTGTGGGCGGCTCATCCAGGGGGCATGGGGAGTGGCTCCCTGCTGCTGTGCGCACTCCCTTGGGGAGGCAGGTGTCCCCCTGAATTTGTGCGCAGAACAGATGGGGGCTGCTTGCTGGGGGCTTGGGGCCAGGGGTGGTGCTAGCTTCTTCTCAGTTGTGGGGGCTGGGCCTGGAGAGGGTGGGAGTGGGGTGGGTTCAGCTGTGTGGAATGGGTGGTGGTGGCCATGCTGGGAGGGATGGCTTCAGGGGAGCTAAGGCAAATTCTGGGATGACAAAACCTACTCTAGCACTGGCCTTTCATAGATTTCATAGATATCAGGGCTGGAAGGGACCTCGGAAGATCATCGAGTCCAGCCCCCCGCCCAAAGGGCAGGAAGTCAGCTGGGGTCATAGGATCCCAGCAAGATAAGCATCCAGTTTCATCTTGAAGGTGTTCATTGAAGGCGCTTGAACCACCTCCGGTGGCAGGCTGTTCCAGACCTTGGGGGCTCGGACAGTAAAGAAGTTCTTCCTTATGTCCAGCCTGAAACGATCTTGAAGTAGTTTGTGACCATTCGACCTCGTCATCCCTTGGGGCGCTCTGGTGAACAAACGTTCCCCCAGATGCTGGTGGTCACCCTTGATAAACTTGTAGGTGGCCATCAGATCACCCCTGAGCCTGCGCTTTTTCAGGCTAAAGAGCCCCAGGGCTCTCAGCCTGTCATCATAGGGTCTGTTTCCCTGACCTCTGATCATGCGCATGGCTCTTCTCTGGACTCTCTCAAGCTTCTCCACATCCTTTTTGAATTGTGGAGCCCAAAACTGGACACAGTACTCCAGCTGCGGCCTCACTAAGGCCGAGTACAGGGGGAGAATGACGTCCCGGGATTTGCTTGAGAAGCATCTATGGAGGCAAGCCAGCGTTTTGGTCGCTTTACTAGCCGCCGCATCGCATTGCAGGCTCATGTTCATCTTGTGGTCAAAGATGACCCCCAAGTCTCTTTCTTCCATAGTGCTAGCCAACATAGCACTGCTGAGCCTATAAGGATGCTGAGGGTTTTTCTTCCCAAGGTGGAGAACCTTGCATTTATCGGCATTGAACACCATCAGATTCTCATCCGCCCACTTGCTGAGCCTGTCCAGGTCAGCCTGGATAACCTGCCTGTCTTCTGGTGTGGATGCTTTGCCCCAAAGTTTGGTGTCATCGGCGAACTTGGCCAGTCCGCTTCTGACTCCAGTGTCCACATCATTAATGAAGATGTTGAACAGTATGGGTCCAAGGACAGAGCCTTGGGGGACCCCACTGGTCACAGGACACCACGATGAGTGACTTCCATCGATTACTACCCTCTGGGTCCGACCCCGGAGCCAATTTCCCAGCCAGTGGATCGTGGAGGACCCAAGGCGACAATTGGCCAGTTTCTCCAAGAGGCGATCATGGGACACCAGATCGAAGGCTTTTTTGAAGTCAAGATATATGACATCAATCTCTTCTCCCTTGTCCAGGTGATAGGTCACCTGGTCGTAGAAGGAAATGAGATTGGTCAAGCAAGACCTACCCGCAACAAACCCGTGCTGGCTATCCCTTAAGATGTTGGCGTCGGCCAGTCCATTAAGGATGGCCTCTTTAATAAACTTTTCTAAGATCTTCCCCGGGATAGAAGTCAGGCTGATGGGCCTATAGTTAGCCGGATCCACTTTCCTCCCTTTCTTGAAGATAGGCACCACATTGGCCTTCTTCCAGTCTTCGGGCACTACACCAGAGCGCCAAGAGTTTTCAAAGATCCGTGCTAGAGGCTGGGCTATGATGCTCGCCAGCTCCTTGAGTACCCTGGGGTGAAGATTGTCAGGGCCAGCTGACTTGAAGGTATCCAGCTTCTCAAGATGTTCCTTCAGAAAGTCAGCATTAATGGAGGGCAGGGGATCACCCTCACCCGGACTTCCCGGCCCTGTAGCGGGCATGGGCGTCCCATGGGACTGATGAAAGACTGATAGGGCATTTTGCTGTGCAGTCTTTCCCTTGGGAGCCCCATGCTGTGGGGTGGGCAGGGGGCATGTGGCCAGCATGGGACTCCTGAGGGAAAGGCAGCAGAGGGGAGTGTCCTGAGCAGGAGTGGCATTGGGAAGGGGGGCTTGAGAGGGCTACAACTATCCCAAATTTTGCCTTAGCACCCCCATAGCCACCCTTCTCAGTGCTGCTGCTGCCTGCCCCACTCAGTTGAGCCCAGCCCCCGCAGGGGGAAGAGGCTGGAGCCACTTCTCCACATGAGACTGGCCTTGAGCCTGCAGCGGGCAGCCCACATCTGCCCCGTGCACAAATCCAGGGAGGGCACATGACCCCCCCCCCCCCCCAATCCTCCCCTGAGGGGTGGGCAGCCATGGGGAGCTGCGCCCCCTGGATGAGCTGCCTGCGGCTCCAACCTGCTTCCCACCCCTGGCCCCGGGGTCCCATTCGCTGCCTTGGTTGGGCAGTACTCCCAGCCCCTGCACCACTCCCTCCCACACCTTGGGGGGCCTCAATCTGCCCCCCTCCCCACAACGCCCCTTCCCCTCCACAGACTTACCTGCAGGGTGCTGCTCTCCATGCTCTCCAGCTGCATTTCTGGCTACATGCGTGCTGCAGCTGTGTACTTGCATGCTGTGTCTGGGGACTCTGGCCAGAAGGCATATTATATTTATCGGTGACATTATTGGCTACAGTGGCTAAAAAAGGCCAATAAGGTTAATTTTCCTTTTATTGGTGCCAATCCGATATGTGACCAATATATCAGTATGCTTCTATTTTCAGCTCTTTGTCCTCATGTTATTTAATTCAACTCGGAGCATGATTAGGCAACAAATGCAACCTACAGCTTTCCCCCCCCCTCCCCCCATTGCTATCAGCACCTGAGATGAGTTAGTGAATAATAATGTGCTTCTGCCACTAGGCAGTGGCTTAAGAAGGAGGTTATCGGAGGCTGGTTCTTTACAGTGTTTTCTGACATAGGGTTGGGCACAGGCTGCAGCCATGGCAAAGCTCCTTTATTGTGCTCTTCAAGTTTGAGATAAGATGTCATGATAATCATCAGAGAAGGATTGTTTTGAGTCCAGTTCTCAGATAAATAATTCAGGATAAAGTAATACACAGACTAAGGAAGGGGGAGGAGGGGGAGAAAATAAACCATTGTGACAAAGGAATGAGAATCTTAAATGCAAATTCTGATGGACCATAAAAAATCATGATAAGCAGTTGTTCAGTTTGTGGTAGAATCAAGAGGTCCGAAGTCAGGATCAGGGTCCCATGGTACTATGTACTCCACAAACACACTTTTGGAAAGACTACTCTGAAGAGTTTGGTTAAGATTGTCCTGTTTCAACAGTGTAAATGCAGACTAATTCCACCATCTTTAATGGAATTATTTTGGATTTCAGTCAGCATAGTAAAGCAGGATATCCTATTGTTAATAGTAATAGTGACTGGTAATAATAACACTGGTGTTTACAGACATTGAAAATGTTAATTTCAAAACTCATATATTTTCAGAATGTTGTTTAAGTTTGTATTGAAATATAATAGAATAAGAGTATATGACTCTACCTCTTAAATATCTGTAAGTGCAAGATACAAATCGTGTAGGACTTTCCAAGCAAGCAGGATCTGTTTTATCAACTCTTTTTTCTTCATTTCAAGGTTGCTGATAGCCCTGTACAAATGCTGTGATCTGAACATTTTTCTTGACCTCCAAAAGATAGCTTAGTCACTTTGTCCTCCTCCTCCATTATTTTTCAGCTAGAAAGTTCCATGTTGTGTGTGGACAATAGAACTGTAAAGTAATGTTGTCTAGCTTGTCATTAATTCCTTTTAATCATAATCAAAAGGTCTCAGAAAGATAAGACAGCAGATTTATAAAGGAGACACTAGCTCTTTGAGGACTCCAAGAGACCTCCAAATGCCAAAGTAGTTATATATCATAAAAAAGCCATATCTTTCTATCTAACATGATATCTAGATTTAATAAAAATAGAAAAAATATTTTATTTGGGTTTATTCAGATAATATATTTATAGTAAAAGCTCCATTAACTGGCACCTTACAAGCCGGCATGTTCTATTAACTGGCATGCTCTGGCTTGTAAGGTAAAGTGAAACTGGAAGTGCCCACCATGACACTTCCGGTTTCTGCAAGCCCCAACGGCAGGCTGCACGGGGCCCACCTCCCTGTCCCTTGGGGCCGCGGGAGGGTTAGTGATGCTGCAGGAGGGACAGCAGGAGAAGCGGCAGCTCGAACAGGCAAAAATGCCTGTTCGGGCCTCTCAATTAACCGGCCTATTTTATTATCCCCCCTTCCCCACCCCCATTTCCCGTGGGTGCCAGGTAACAAAGCTTTTACTGTAATAGGTTCCTGATGTATCTGTCAAGTTTTTCCAAGATTCCAGTGTTGAACAATAAATAATATCACTGGTTTCTAGCTTCCAAATATGTGTGCAGCATAAAAATAAATATTGAACAAATGAGTCCAGTGCCTGCATCATACATTGAAACTAACTAGATGCCTGAATCGGCTCAATTTCAGACTTTTGCTATTTCTGCTAGGCATGTGGTTCTGTAAAGGAGCACAAGTACGTTTCTGTTTAGTAATGTTTTTTCCTCTACTGTTGGAGATATTTAGGAGACAAATGAAAATGCACCCTGCTACTCAAGAAACATGTCTACACTGCAGCAATGGTGTGAGTGCCCAGCCCAAGCTGTTTCTTAGGTCAGCCCACTAAGCCAATCAAACTGCCATGTTCCCAGTATGGCAGTGCTGTGGTGAAGATGCTCTGTGGCTGTTTTCAAGCCCTCAGTCATTGGCATACTTGAGAATGGCTGCTGGGGTTGACTCCAGGATATCGTCATCAGTGTATTTCTAGGAGTGTTCAAGGGGCAGTTGTGGATCAGGTATGCCAGTGCCATGATGAGCTTGGTGTGCTACTGCCATGGTATAGGCAGATGTATCCAAGATGACAGTGCCATCTGCAGTGCTTCCTATGCCAGTACCCTGTCACCTTTGTTACTGTTGGGGCTGAATTGCTGGCAGCAGTGGTGAGGAACTTTGGGGAAAAGTCCTGGTGTTGGCAAGTTCTCTTCTAGTTTCCAGTGCTGCTCCCAGATTTGCTGCAAGACTTGAATTAAACTTTATGCAAGGGTCCCCGGCTCTGCTGGCGATGAGTCCTGCCAATCCAAGGAAGAAAAGGCAGGACACACAAACTGAAGCACAGCTTCTTATGTAGCCAGAGAGTTAGTTAATGAATGTATTGGTTCTTATAAAGAATGAACATGTTCAGTTCTCAAAGTGAAATATTGCTGATGGTAACAATTAATTATTACTTGCATTAATTAGAACATTTTTTGTTTCCCTTTTAGTCAGGGCAGTTTACAGAAGATATGATCCCTACAGTAGGCTTCAATATGAGAAAAATAACAAAAGGAAATGTTACTATAAAGGTAAGTGAGCATGCCTGAACTATGATAAATAGAAAATAACTAGTAAAACAACATTTTTAGCTTGAAATGCAAGTGTGAGGAAACTAGCTGCATTTAGCATACTTGATCAGTCTTCCTTTTCTTGTGTGAAAGAATGGAGTATTCCCTTTTTGAATATGTGGCTTAGTCAGTCAGTCAAATAATCAATAAAATATGTTCAGTTGTATCAGGGAGGGCCCATATAACAAGTACCGTGTTGTTAATGAAACAGACTATGCAAAACTTAGTCTACTTTAAAAAAATGTATTTTCTATGGTTGTCCTTGCATCTTTCTGCCAATGTCTGTGGTATTTCAATCACTTTTTAAGTCATGTACGTTTCCACAACTTACTTCTGCTGTTCCCTTGGTGTGTGAAAGATGGAAGAGATTTATTTGGCAATACATGAAGTGAAACCAACTATGCAAAATGTTATCAAATGGGCAAAATGAGCTTAAAGATGGTGTGTTTTTCTCTAATCTCTTATCATGCCTTAAAACAGCAATTAGGGAAAAAATAAAAAGTTCCTTAAGTATTTAGTGTTCCCTTTTATATTACTTAGCTCAAAATATGATGACTTATTTTCTTTTAGGAACATATTTTGTTTTTACAAGAGGCAAGGTTTTTTTGGGATATCTTTTCTTGGATCAACGGCATAGAATTGTTGGACAAGTTTTTAGGCATCAAGGCTGCTTGCAGAAATAATAATAAAAAAAAATCCCCCAAATACCAGAGGAAGCAGCACATTACTTTGACTCGGCTCTGCAGTATTTGTATAGATCAGATGCTTCAGTGGGGCTTTTTAGAGCCTTTATCTAAAGCAGAGTCAATCAGCTATTGAATAAAAGTGTGAAAAAAAAGCTCCACTAATGCACTCGATCTACGCAGACTTTGGGCAAGCCGGATTCAACTAACGTGCTGCCTTTTTTGGGCATGTGCTGGACTTGGCGCAGGTGCATACCAAGTTTAAAGTAAAGCACTAGTTTTTTGTTTGTTTTAATGTCTGCAAGCAGCTCAAGTGTCTTTCCTAATTTGATTTACGTTTTTATCGCATGATTTAACTTACTACTAAGATGTATGTTACACCAAAACTTCCCCTTTGAGCACCTTCAAGGGGGAGAAATTAAAAAATATTGGGATGGACTGAGAGACTATATTTCTTTTTTCTTACATGTCAGTCAGTCTTAACTTTCTATTCAAATTAAATCAGTATCCAGTGTATTCAAATCAGTGGCATAACTAGGTGGGGAGAACCAGAGCAACAGCTGACTTAGGGAGGAAGTGGGGTGCAAAAATAGCTGCACCGCAGTTGGCACTGCTACGTGCTTGGTGGCTGCCCACGACACACGGGACCTGTTTACATCACTAATTCAAATGATTGTTCATCTGAAAATGTAAGCAGTTAACTTCTACCTCTTATTTTCCTTGAATCTGTCCTTTATGTTTACCTCCATTCTTCTTCCTTCAGTTCTGGGGATTTTTGTTCTAAGGTTTGGATTTTGATTTATGGGGTACCCACTTCAGAGTTTGCTTGCACAAGAAAGATTTTGAGGGGGATAAATGAAGTTTTAATGAATTTAAACAGTGATGGTTGTTATATTGGTAGAACCCTCCTTCATGTATGAATGATCTTATGCCAATGTAAGAGTACCTCTTTTAAGAGCTCTTCCCCTGTCATTTGAGATTGCTTTTCAGCTAAACCCCAAAACAAGGCAAAAATAAGAGCTTTCATATGGTAGAGTTACTCTGATTTACCTATACTGGTATAACTATTAACATTTTTCCATGCAGAGAAGACATTAAACTTTGTGCTTTGATGCTGTAGCTATTGTATCTCTTTTTGAGTTGCGTTATAAATTATTTATATAATTATATATTAGGGTGCCTAGCCAATTCCATTATAAAAGATTCTTGCCCCCTTTTTTGAGAGAGGTGTTTGCAGGAAGTCTTTGAAAACTGGTAGAGTGGAAAAGTCTTCAGGCTACCAAGGTGCTTTTTTTTGTCCCATGAAATTATGTTCAAATTTGCCTGAGATAAAAACTTAAACAACATCATTTCCCTTTGTGACTTGTGTTACTTGGGAAACTATTATTAGTATGTCCAGATAACATACAAACTTAAAATTTCAGAGAAGTCCACATCAAGTAGCAGCAGCTTTCAGCAATAGGAAATATGAGATCTCTGATTACCAGTATAATTTTTGTTCAAAGACTTTGTGTATGTACTTTATCATAATGTATTTAATGATATATCACCTTTTTCTAGCATAGGACCTATGCTTCATTCATTTTTTCAAGATGGATGAAGCAAGGAGTATATTAAAGTTGCACAGGCAACTGGAAATCTGGTATTTCCTGCATGTCAAGTGTACGATTTTGAAACTTAAAAAACTTTTCTTCAGCCTAGGTTTATTTTATATAATACAACTAACACAAAAGGCACCCTCAAAGGATGAGACAAATTTTAATGCACTCCATGCTACAAGATAGGGAAATGCCTTCCTGGAGTAAAACCTTGAACAATCACCACTTTCTGTCATAATATTTAAAATATCTGAGTAATATTAACTACTATAACTTTTAAATAAAATATTTGTATTAAAATATACTCCAATAAAGAGTGTGTATTATGGGGAATTATAGAATATCAACTCTTGCCAAATGCTAGAGAAGAAAATATCATATCTTGAATCTCTCTGCAGACACTGGGAGTAGTCCAGGAATAATTTCTTCCCAAGTCTCCTAGACTTTTCATGTGTTCCTCACAGTTGGGCTAGAGACTGGTTAGACTGTTTATAACTCTGTGTATGAACATGTGAGATGCTTTAATTGAACAGTATTTCCCCAGAAATCAGGTTTTTTTCCAATACCGTTGTGCACTCTGCTTGTACCATTATGTTTCCGAGCACGTCTTCCTAATAATGTGCTGCCAAACAGTATGAGGCATATATGTGATAACTGGTGGCCACTTGCACAGGTGGTATCAGATGTCAGATAAACGTAGTCACTGTGAACCATGACTTTCTGGTGTGTTAGTAAAGATTAGCATTATTTGGAGCATCGAGCAGTGTAACAACAAGATAGAGGCATCTAAGGTCTAATACAACACGGCCTGCAACAGTTGCCTTTCTGGCTCGTATTGGGTAATCTGGAAAATGTGTCAATTCTGTGGTGAGCTGGACCTATTCTTCCAACGGAGAGTATAAAGCTTCCTTTCAATGCGCTGGAGAGGGACAAAGAGGAACAGGAAGTGCGTACCAGCTCGATGACCCTGATGAAGAAGCCAGCTGGAAGATCCCCCCCACCAAACACCGCCTGATGTATTTTTGTGAAGTCAGGGTCCAGACACAGCAAAAGAAATGGCAACTAAGCTGTTTGGCAAGAAAAGAAATGGTGGACAAGAGACCTCTTCTCTGTACAAGTTATGCAGCTGTTCATTGTAAATATGTAGTGGGAAGACTAATTATTCTAAGCTTCTTGTGAGAGTTAGTGTTAGTAGCAGTAAATTTATAACCTTACATCACGGTGCAAGTTAACTTCTTTCCTTCCTTGGCCTTCCCTGCCTACAACGCAAGAAGCAGCTGCCAAGCTTTTCTTCATTTTCAGTTGGCTCAGTTGCCCTAGCATGAGCACCATTCTTGCTGATGCCCACCCTTTGGCAACTTGAGTTGTTCCCAATGATGACAAAATTGCCCAGATCAATATGCACAGGAGTTGGTTATGTCAAGTGACTCAACTCAAAATGAAGAACAACAAGAAAAAATTGCTGAATAGAAACTGCAAAAGACAAATTCTGATTAAGAGATTTTTTTTGCAAGAAACTTTATAAGGTCAAAATATTTTCATTGCATGCAACAGGCAGCATGCCAGATCATACCATCTCAGTAGTCCCAATTCATCATTTTTGTTCTATACACAAATAGTTTTAGGCATTGTGAGAACCAAAGGCATTTAGGGTGAACTTGTTAGGCCTTTAGGCTGACTGGCTGATGTCTGTGCAAGTCCACAAAGATTTAAAACCCAGGATGTTTATTGAAAGAAATATGATGTGGGTCTGCTGTATAAATTAAACAAAAATAAAATCAAGAAAATGTTATTAAAGCTTTGCTACTGTTAAGCCTCAGCTAAATTGAAAATAATGAAATAGCTTTCAAATCAAAATCAAATCCACCAGTTAGCTTCCATATTGGGTTGGAATTAAATGTTCTAATTAATGAAATAATCAGATTAATATAATCAATAGTCAATCTGAGGAGGTAGTAGTTTGAAGCCAATAATTTTATCCAAGTGAATCAAATATGTAATTTAGAGCTGGATAAATAAGTAATACTGAAACCAAATTATTTAAACAATTTTTAAACCGTGACCTCCAAGTCAAAACTTCCTCCTTTATGTTTAGTATTTTTCATGGCCAACATATTCCTCCTCCTTTGCTCCCACAAACAGAGAAGTTTCAAAAGAAGCTTTGAAAGAACACTGTGATAATGGAAGTTGGCAACTTATTAAGCAATCACCAGATGATTCTCTCAAATGCTGAGCACAACATGCATTGAATGAGTATCCTTTTGAGACTGTGTAAACCTGTCACGTTCCCTTTGTGGACTTTATAAGTGCTCAGATCCACACATACATACACAAATATACATGCTTGAGGAAAGTGTTAAGGCTTTTGGATGAAAATGTAAAATCAGATGATATAATTCATTTTGCAAACACGACTATTTAGTAATCTTTATTTTAGAATCAAGCCATACATCAGCTTATCTCTGAAAAGGTTCTGAATAGAGAGAGGTTATTTTTTAAAACTTCACAAGAAAATAAAACAAAGAAAATACAGTTGATAAAGTCTGTAATTCCATTTATAATATTTCTTTTACAACATCTATTAGTAAAGTGACTGAGGCCATGACTTTTGGTTGGATGAAATGAACTGCCTCTTCGGTTTGTCAGTTTTGCTGACAAAAAAACAATACTTTTTTGAAGA